TATGATTGAGTAAAAGATTACTGGTGGAAAAAAAATTGCACCTCTCTTCATTATTCGATATTCAATTTGTATTCGAAGCTGTGTATTTGTATTCGATTCGTATTAAAAAATTTTGATATTTACACACCCCTACTTTCCACCTTTTTCTTAAGAATCACTCCCCTTCCAAAAAAAGCCCAACCACGTGCACGTGATTTTCGAGCGACGATGGCAGGATTTTCTGTCGCGATCATTTGTCGCTATCACGTCATAGATTTCTGAAAAACCAGCAAAAATCACTTGTCGTCCAGAGAAGATCATGCTGATTTCTGCAACATGGTAGCACTCCCCGATTCTTGCTTTGCTTGTTACTCACGCCTAGAGGTACTTCTCATGTAGAAGTGAGGCAGCGGTCGTATTTTGTCATTAATCTTGTTATCGACGGTTTCTTTTGATGCTTTAGGGGTGGCTTGCTGAAACGCTGGTTACTTGCTATCATGACCTCGTCGTGCTTGCTGCAATCTTAATGGCGTCATCATGGTGGTGGTGCGAGGTTGCCTCGAAGTTGGCAAAGTGCGTCTTAGTGTCGTAGCGCACGCTTTTGGGCGCTCCTTGAGATCACAGCAGATATTAATGTTGCGGTTAAATGATTGCAAGAAAAGATAGCTGCAAAACGTTTTAATGGCGTGCGTGGGCTGTCCGGGTAAGCTTGCACAAGATAGTGCCATCAACCACCGAAGGTGAGTAAAGTGCAACGAAGAAGCTGTTTCCAAACAGTGTACGCGTATGTCAATTGCAAAAGGCTAAGCGACCTTTTTTTTTGCATTTTGCATTTTTTGCTCCTCCCAAAAAAAGTTTTCATAAAATTTATTCCGCGCAATAAACGTACCCCCAAACTTTGCTCCTATTTTTCGAGAAAAAAAGTATGTTCATTATGCTAGTAAATATGGTATCCCAAAGTCTAAAGCACTAATTTATGTTAGTAGTATACCACCAGAGCCATTCTTGACTATATGCTATGGGCATGTCCAGCTTTAATAGCAATTCTGGAGTTGCGGCCTTCAATGAAGACCTTCGGGTGCATTGGCAGACTGCGATGCTCAGTTCGGGCCTGGATAAGCAACTCTGGCCGATCCAGCAGGCAAAGGAAGCTACTGGGAGACACGGTCTCTTCGTTAGCTTCTAGGTGGGAGCCCAGCCCAGCAATCTGCCGAAAATTAATGGAGTTTACTTCACTCTTTGGTTAAACCCGTGCAGAATGCCGCTTAAGCTACCTTCTTCGCACTACATCAGTGGCCTGCAGAAAAGTGTTCTGAGATTTGGAAGGGGTTGTTAGCACTAGTCAAGGAAGAGAGCACAGTTTGTTCAGTTATTCATGTGTGTGTACGCTGCATAAATTTTAGTACTAGTATGATCGCTGACGTCTTACTGGCAATTGTTTGGAGGACTGTGTAACATTTCTGCAGCCCTAAAGAACAAACAGAACTGTGTGTCAATTTTTTTTTCGTTACACCTACTAAGTTTTACGAATCTCTCTGATCTCAAGGTCGCTAACCTGGCAAATCTACATTTCAATCCTCTGAGTCTGTAGAAGGATTTGACAGGCATGGCAAATGCTAATGTGAACTTTATCATTGTTTGCCAAGTGGGGTATTAAAAAAGACATATTACTTTTATTGAAGTGGCAGTGTTCATATTCATTCTGCACGGTTTAGGAGATGTTAAATAGATTGTACATATTTTCTTTTCTAAACGTAAGCCTTCTTTTTCATACTACTGCTAATTTGCTCTTTATGATAAAAAAATCAATGCCTTTTTTTTTTTGTAACCTGCTCCAAATTTAGATTTTGATGCTCCAAAAGTAACATTTTGTTGCTTAAAAAGTTGCTCCAAATTCTCTTTCGACTGTTGCACCCCTGATAATGAAAGGCACTCATAGTTATAGTGCCTTGATTTGTTAGCCTTCATGCAAATCGTGTGGCTTTAAACTTTTGCTCGCACAGGTTCATTTTCAGGTGCTCAAAGATAAGTGTTCACATCACGTTGCTGCTAGTTATGATTTTTATTTAGAGATAATACGAGGTCCATGCAAGACAGGCACAGTTTTAGAAACATCGGCATGTGTCAGTAGAAAAAGAAAAAAAAAAGTGATGACGATTGCTCAGAAAAACAGAAACCAAATCTATTCTGCATGTGCTACTCGCTAATACAACCACAGCATAGTTATATTTTTTTCAAATGTACAACCAAGGTGTCATTGCACCGTAGGAAAAAGGTAAAAACAAAAAAAATTAAGCGTGAATATTTTTTCAAAATTTCTCGTCTTATTCGGGTAATTATGCTTTCCAAGTAACACCAATCAAAAAAGGGTTTTTTTCCCCCACATTTCGATAACCACTCAGTTTTTATTTAAGGGGCAGTGACAATAGAGATCTTAAAATGCAATCTTTAAGCATCTTGCACGGTTGGGAAGGGGAGAATGGGCAAGGAGCTTCTGTGATGTTGGGCCTGTTGAGCTGTTCTCTGGCTGTGGAGGCTGTAAGCAATTGATGGGCTGGGCAGTCATAGGCAGTGGGATGCACTCAAGGCACACTTTTTCTTGCCTATTTTTGGCTGTCTATTAACCATGAATGTAAACTGACATCAGGTTTTCTGTGTTCAGTACATGTAGAACACCAAGACAGGCGTTCTGTTTGCACATACTACTTTATAACAGTTCAAGTTGTTTTTCTACTTGTCTAGCTCTATGTGAGAATAAAAAGTTTACATGCTGCAAAGTGTACCACACTATCCTCTGTATTCTCTTATCTCAAGGGTTGAAACATTGAGCGTTTGTTCATTTGACTTTTTTTCCCTCTGCAACTGCAGTTAGGAACAGCTAAATTTCTCAATGCTCTTCTTGTATCTGCCATTCTGGGTGTCAGAACAGGCGATAACTACAGGGTATCATCGTCTGAGCTTACGATGAACGTCAGAATGAAGTGTGTTGCCACAAAATGTGTGCCATTTAAGTATTCACCATCATAAATACTAATAAGCTTACCAGCAGCTTCAAGCTCTCCTTTCTGCCAAATTGGCATATCCAGCATTCTTTGTTGAAAATATGTACAGTTGGTGTTGCTATTTTGGGCCTGCAGAAAGCTGGGCCACCTCGAATAAGGGTTGTTAGAAAACTGTGTGCTCTTGTTAAAGGTATTTCGTTTGCTGCCACAGAAATAACTTTTTTGGTGGCAGTTTTGACAGTAATGCTCTGGACTGTCGGTGGAATCATTGTTATTAATGAGCCGATATAATGCAGGATATTTATGGCAGCAATACACTTTACGATAAAAGCGCCGTTACCCATTCAGTGCCGTCCTTTGAATATTGTTTTTTTAAATTAAGAACAGCATTGGTAATCTAATGTTGTTATTGAAAAACATTTATTATGTAAGAATAATCTACAGTTTGCTACCACTGTGACAGTTACATTATTATTGCACCTGTTTCTCTATTTATGAGTGGTAGATACCTCAATCCCTGGTATTGACAAAGTGCTATTAAATTAAGGATTTCTAGTGAAAAAGCCACAGTTCTGCCCAAAAGAGGAAGAACTGATGATGGTAACAATTTACAAACGTCTATAAAATTTTCACTTGTTTTATTGGCCTTATATATTAAAAATTTCCATATTCACTAAATTAGTGAGTATGGCACTTGCTCACATGCCTCACTTGATGATCGCCAGCCGTCTTTCACAACTTCGGAATGATGAACAGTGCAAAATGAAATGAGCAAGAATGTTGAGTTGCCTCTCATTTTGTTGCCATAACGTGAGCTGCAGCATTAAACTTGTGGAGGTCCAGGGAAGCCGGTGGAAATGGGAACATGAAGGGAATGGCTCGCTCAGTCTTATCTGGAAGGGCTGCGCAGCTTTTTTTTACGAACTCACAGGTGCTTGATTAAAGGCGATGTTAACTACATAGTGGAGATGCATGCTTGATCTGTGACGATCTCTTCTAGAACCATGTCTTCAGTATTCGCCTTCCCCCTCCCTCTGCCCCAGGCGTTTTCACCACCTCCCAGCGCCCCTTCCATGATCGAAGACATACCCACATGCTTTCTCTTCATTCCATTTCATACCACTTGCAGGCGTGATAAGGTCTTGTCAGTTTGTACTTTATATGTCAACTTGTCAATGTAATCAACCATCAAGTTGATTACATTGACAAGTTCTTGGCCATGTCAACCCTGTAACTGCTATCTCAAAAATTGTGATGCTGATCATGTATAATTTGATAATTTGTCAATATCATTGAATGTGGCATGTTATTAAAATAGCTCAATTAATGCTTTGTATTGAAATACCATGCAATTTAATATAATTGACACTTTTCTGTTCAGTTGTAGTGTGAGATCTGCACTTGTGTCAAAGTGTAAATTATAGTCACAGGTGCAGCAACGCCTATTACACCCCCCCCCCCCCCCCCAAAAAAAAAATTGTGGAAGCTGCTACTGCATTAATGATTGACTCGGCTGCTGGTTTATCTCTGAACAAGTGGCAACACACGCAAGGCTGGCGGTGTTTGTGCCCCATCATGAGAACTGTTGGCTTTGCTGGGGCTGTTGATGGGCCCATTGTCATTCCTGGAAACACAGTTTTTCTCTTGTATCATCACATCTTTTATGTTACATCATTGCTTTTATTTTTATTTTGGTGTGAGAGGTCATTATCCCACTCTAAATTTGGAAGTCACCTACAGGCAACAGTATCTTTTATTAGAGTTCTGGTGTGTACATAAACTCTTGACTGTGTGTGGCAAGATTTTCACTAAGCATGCTTTCTTGGAACTAATTCATTGCAAAATAGTTATTACTGGGTAGGACATGTGTTTATCTTTTTTTTATTTGTACCTTAAATTAGTGAAGTAGAAAGTGTGATGCATTAAAGTGCGTTGGCATATATATTCATATACTTAGTGTTTATAATGCTTCCTTTAATTTAGTATAAAAATTCAAGTACTTTCCTTCTTGTATGGCAGGTACCTGAGGAGGCTGCATTGGATGCAGAGTTCATTGATGTCTACAAGGGCACAAATGGAGTCGTCATGATGCTAGACATCACCAAACAATGGTGAGTACATATTCTGATGCTTCTATTTATAATTTCGAGAAACAAATGCTCAAAACAATCTTTGACACAGCAGGGAGGTTTGCCCATCACAGTGTAGCTGTCAGTGCAGCTCTTCTGTTTTGTGTCATTTAATTGCATACTACCTGAGCAAACAATTTATGGAGGGAAGGATGAAAGAGGGTGAATTCAGAGCGCAGTGATGATTGACTGAGTGATAGCTCAGAGGGTGAGAGGAATAAAGCAGAAAAACATAGGTGTGTGGGAGAGGATACCACTTTGTGAAACATAAGGCTAGTGTGGCCTCGATATTCTCAGCGTGTGTGTTATATTGCCACAGAGACTAATTACCCTATCCGATATTATGAAGAATCAGCATCCACAGTCTTGTGTGCACTCCTGCTTGTGGCCGCACGACTTATGCCTCTTGTTCACGGGCACGAGTCAGTGTGGGTTGGAGCTGCGAAGAAAAAGAAGGCGTGTTGGCAGATGAACAGTTTTTGTTTTGGAACGCTCTAGCGGACTCTTCCATTTTTTCGCAAATAATTTTCAGGGCACAAGTTCACTCGTAATAAACTAGTTTTTGGTGTTTCTTCTCTTGGAACCGTTACATTCTGGTAGACGGTGCTTGGTATGATTGGAAGCCCCCTTTGCGCAAGAGAGCGAAGCCCCAATCCTAAAAGATTGAAACCTGGCAAACTGACTCTGGTACACCAGCATTCAAGCCGCTGGCTTCGAGGAGAGCCGCCTGAATTTGCACCCCTCCCCAGTGCTTCAGCAACACAAGCAGCGTCCACAGACAACGCAACGATGGCTTGCCAGATGACATCCTCGGAACTTATTCTGTCCCCACTGTGCTTGCCTGAGCCCTTCCATGGTGACACGTTCGAAGATGTAGAAGATTGGTTAGAACACTTCAAGTGGGTTGCAAAGACCGATGACTGGGATGAAGCAAGGAAACTGCGTCGCGTGTACTTCGCATTGGAGAATGCAGCGAGGACGTGGTATGAAAACCATGAAGCTTTCATACCGACATGGGAAGAATTTCGACGAGAAATAGTAGCTACATATGCCAGCACCGATCGTCGGGAGAAGGCGGAGAATGCTCTACAGTCCAGGAACCAGCGCATGAATGAAAACGTTGGCATGTATATTGAGGACATGTCCCGCCTATTCAAACGCGCTGACCCGAACATGACCGAAGAGAAAAAGCTGCATCACTTGATGCGAGGTGTCAAACAAGAGTTATTTACCGGTTTAGTACGCAAGCCACCTCGTACAGTTTCTGAATTCTACACCGAAGCTACCTCCATAGAGCGGGCATTGCAGCAGCGCTCCCGTCACTGAAATCATGATATGAGTAGTGTTCCTGCGGATGTCCTCTCAGCAAACCTAGGCAGCAGCAGCGAAGCATTCAGGGAAATGGTGCGTTCCATTGTGAAGGAAGAGCTCCAGAAGTTGCTGCCACAAGTCGCAACGCCAGTTTCGTCTCTCACTATCCTGATCAGAGATGAAGTTCGCCACGCCATTTTACTAGCGGAACCCGAGGCGCAACCTGTTCGACTTGAACAGCAATTGCAGGAATGCCCCATACCGACTTACGCCGATGCTGTGCGCCAGCCCGCCGTGCATACTGCTTTGTTTGCAGCTCCCAGTGGCTACCGACCGGCTTTGCGTGGCTCAAACTATCCAGCTAATTCGAGGCCACAGAAAAGCGACGTGTGGCGCACACCTGACAGGACGCGGCTCTGTTGTCACTGCGGCGAAGCTGGAAACATGTACAGAATGTGCCCATATCGATGGGTTGGTCTCCATGGGTTTTCTCCAAGTGCGCCATGCCCCCGAAATGGCGAAAGACCCGTTGAAATCGAAGATTACTTGTCCGGCCATCTATTTCCAACTGCTGGTTTCCAGCATCAGCCTAGATCACCAGTGCCTGCTCGTTATCGATCACCAAGCCCGTGACGATTTAGTTCACCTTCTCCACCTTCAACTTTAACACACAGTTGTTAAAGCAGTCCCCATCAGGAAAACTGAAGCCAGTGACCTGTGAAGGCAAGGCCGCTGATGTCCGACCAACTGAAGATCCTCCGTCTAAGTCCCAGTGTAGTAACGATGAGCGGAACACTACAACTAGATTAGGTAAAGACAAAATTTCTTCAGACTTGCGCGTTGCCGTAGACAGGTGTGAATTTAACCTTTTAGTTGATACAGGTGCTGATTATTCGGTTGTCAGTTAGGTTGCCGCAAAGGATTTAAAGAAAGTTCTGATGCCTTGGAGTGGATTCTAAATACGCACGGTTGGGGGTTATCTCATTACACCTCTGGGAAGATGTACCGCAATAATCGGAATTCAAGGCGCTACTTACGTTGCTGACTTTGTCGTACTTTCCGAATGCTCTAGAAATTTAATACTCGGAATGGATTTTCTGCTAGCAAACAGAGCTATAGTCAACCTGCAGAATTCTAGTGTCTTTTTTTCGACGAAACTGGCCATAGACACTAATGAGCCAGAGTACACTGTATTACATGTTAGAGATTGTGATGTTACCGTGCCGCCACGATGCAGCGTAATAGTCAATGTAAGAAATGAAGCATTCGTTGATTCTGAAGCTATAGCGGATGCAAACATCGAACTACTGCTCAAGAAAGGCATTTGTGTAGCTCGAGGCATTGTTTAATTACGTGGTAGATGTGCCGATGTATTGCTCACAAATTTCGAAAAACGAAGTTCAGCATGTTACAAAGGACACTGCTATCGCCTTCCTGCATGGTTTTGAAACAGTGACGGACTTATATGGTCTGGTGTCTGTGGGGATCTGAGGCGCGCCGGCGACCATTTTGTGGGCATTCCGCCACACGGCCACACCCTTTTGCTTTTCTGCTCTGCTAATGGCACATGGGGATAGATGGCGCAACGTGCAGGCGGCACGGGTTACATGCGCGCCGAGGGAGCTGACTCTCTTCTCCGTGGTCGGCGCCGGGTAAGCACGTGTTTTCCTTCGTTCGCGTCCCCTTTGGGAATCGCCGAACTGTAGCCTGCCTGGGGTGGCCTTTGGCACCTTGGCAGACGTGTTTACTTGAGTGCTAGCTTCGGTAGCGTACGCTAAGCCCACAGCGGTGCCTAGTGCTTGAAGGGGTTGAACCACACCGAGCCGCACTTGCCGTAGGCCTACGCATACGAGGTTTGCCCTAACACTTGCGACCAGGTCCATTGGCCATCGTGAGAGCCGCGAGAGACCTTTTCCCGACCGGGGTGTCAAAGCTCGCCATTGCCAGCTGCCATGTGCTCGCGGTTTTCCCCTTATTGTGAACGTCCGCGTGCGGGTGCCTTTGCTACACGGGTTCCGGGAGAGGACGCTGTACTGTTGTTCGGGGTGCCGCCAGAGGCAACAAAGTGTTGTGTATTTTGTATTAGAACACTGTCTGTTTTGCCGCGCCGCGCTAAACGCCTTATTAGTTGAGCGCGCGCGGAGCGGTGCGCTACACGCGAGTAAGTGACGGAGTCGCGGCTCTGTGGCTCGCTAAGCGTGAACCCGCGGTGATCATCCGCTACGGTGAGTAGCGGGGTCACCATACTGGTGCCCAGAGCAGTATCAAAGGCTCATTAAGCCTTTGATTAGTCTTAGCCGAGTCAGCCCGCCTTTGCGAATCAGGCTCGCTGCGTTTACCCACGTTATGTCTGCTCCGCCTGAGTTCTGTCTGCTGACGCTTTTAGCAGATACCGCATTGCTCGAGAACAGGGCCAGTGCCCCCCTTGAGCATCACAATTGCGCACCCTCACTTGTCACAAGCCCCAGTCGGGATGACACGAGGCGCCACGTAACAGCTCCCACTGGAGAGGTAGCGTGTTTTTGGTCCGGGGCCATAGCCCAACCCGAACAGTGCACGCGGGTGAATTGGATTGTTACTGGGCCCTTTAGAATGCATGGCAGTTCCATGTCACCGCGCTTTGAAAAGGCTCTCAGTGGAGCTTCTGGGGCGCAGATTGGTACCGCGGCCTCAGTCGTTGCCGAATATTGCCCGCTGGCTGCTACGCAACCTAGCAGCCAAGGTCATTTCGAGCACGTGCCTGTACAGCTAGCCGCAAGCGGCCTAGCAATTTCACGTGAAGCTGCCCCAAGAGTCAGCTGTGAGCAACAGGCACTCCCCAATGTCGCGACGGCCGGTGTTAATTTTAAAACCGCGCCGCTTATCGAGCTCGGAGACAGTTCCCCATTGCTCGCCCACGCGCTAATGCACCGACAGCTTCTTTTGAAGCGGGGGCACAGACGCTGCTGCAAAATGCCACCCAAATGATTGAGGCACTCACGGGGGCAGTCCAAACGCTTTCGGCCGTTCCGAAACGCCCTCATCCCGCTGTCATGTTGGCCGTTTCGACCTGCAACGGGTATGGTGATCTGCAAAGTGCAAGAGATTACCTGGACTCCCTCACACGTTATCAGAGAGCCAGGGGTCTAGACGACGAGGAAGTGCTCGGACGCGTCGTCCCGGCTGCACTGACTGACTCGGTGGCCAGGTGGCATCGGCTTTCCGGCCACCGAGCAGCAACCCTCGATGAGTTCCGCGCCGCTTTCCTGCGCGAATTCTTACCCGCTGACTACGAGAGTAGGATGTGGCGCGAGCTCGAGCTCCACACACAAGCTCCTGATGAGTCGCTTCAGGAGTACGTACGCGCGGTATAAGACCTTTTTTCTATCGCTGAGCCCAGAGCCTCGAACGAGGAGCGCGTCCGACGGGTGATCAGGCAGGCACACCTGACTTTTTCGACGTACCTGCGCGGCAGCCACTTCCGTGATTTGGAGGAATTGGCCGTCGAGGCAAAGCGCATTCAAGGCGACATTCTCGCCGTGCGTGCCTACCCAGTCAACACAAACACACCCTCAGGACGTCCTCAGTATGCCTCCGTGAGGACAATATCACGCCCTCAAAATGTCCTCTTATGGTACTAGAAAGGGGCTAATCCCGTCCCCTTATCCATACACATAACAACCTCAGCACAT